GCTAAGTTGGAACTTAGAAAAATCATAACTTCCTCATACGAAGTCAGATTTGGACGTTCTTTTTATACATACTCTCGGTTTAACGAACACTACGACTTTCGTTTAGATCACTAAGGCTAAAAAGTAGTTTATCAAAAACTCACTTTTTACGACATTCGGCACCGTGCCGGTTTTGTCGCGAAACTTCGACAGGTCATAACTTCTTCGTTATAACTCGGATTTTGGTATTCTTTATATATCTGTAATCCTTGTCACGACCACTACAACTTTCTTAATAGATATCAGCTTATCTAATATTTATTTTCGACGCTCATTTTTATTCTTAATTAATTAAATCTTAGTAATTAAGCATAAAACACATAAAACACATAATATTCACGTAATTCCTTTTCATTTCTTCAAAATGAGTTACAAAGGTTAACCTAGACTATCACATCAATATTAATGCATAGCCTAGAAACACGGGCATTACAGTGTCTAATAACATTTATTTGTTTTTGAGGTCACTAAATTTATATAATTATATCCAATTGACCAACAATTTTTTTTTGTGGTTCTATTATACTATTGATTACGTGGATTTCACATGGTTGACAACAGGTTATCACCGGTATCAATGATATAATAAAAAATAAAAAAATAAAGTTTGTTGATTGAATGCAATTAAAACTTCTATAACCAAATAAATAAATTTTACGTTATTAATTATCATTTTAGATTATTTTCCCATAATAAAACTTGAACTTCAAGTAAAAATTTTGTTGTAATTGTATTACAGTGGTGAATGTAGGACTAACCCATTTGGTAGAGATGAAAATCTCTTAAAGAGAAGGTCTTGAATTCAAACCCAATCATAAACAAATTTACTAAATTGATAATTAACATCTAACAACTAACCATTTAAAAAAATTTGTATTACGGTAACTTACAGTTACATTTAGGTGGAAGTCTAGTCAAATAACACGTGCGTCTCTGACAACGATAAGTTGGCGTGCAAATAGTAAAGCGTAAATTACTAGCATTATTTACAGGCCCGACGTGGAGACGCACATGCGTGGGGACACGTGTTTCTGATTTTAAAGAGTCAAGCATTCCAGCTACGCTTTCATAAAACCCAAATGTAAAAACCTTCTAATTATTAGGGGCTTGAAACCATGAACCCTATCTTCCTCTTTTAAGAACCCCTTATTTTGCTTTCAATAATTTTACTATGGGTTAATACAACAGAAGCCTTTATACGGTATTATTCTGTTGAACTTTTTTTTTTTTTTAATATGGTTTTTAGTCGGTCAGTAACAATTATGATAACGCTTCGGTTTATTCTAATATCTTTTTTATTTAGCCTTGATATTTCTCTTTCAGTTGATGTATTTTTTTGAACTATTGAATTTTATAAAAATAAAAAGGCCTTAGCAAGAAGCTAAAGCTGTAACGGAATAATTACATCATAATGTTTAATATGAGATTTTGAAGTCATAAATTCCAAGGAATAAAGAATTTATATTTTCAGTGCACTATGAAATTAAAAGAAAAAACAACAATATCGACAACAAATCTATCTTGTCTAGGCCTCGTGTAGTCAAAACCACACTTATTTATGAAGTTCCAAAAAGTCCACCAAGTCGTGCAAATAAGAGCTTCCAAGATTGGTTTTAAAATAAAAAAGGAAGAGGCGTTGAAGGTAATAGTCGAAACCATGACTTCTCTTTGAGGGACGAGGTGTGTTAGCTAGTAAGGTAGATGATCTTTTATATATATATATATATATATATATATATATATATATATATATATATATATATATAAGAATAATGTCATAAAAACCTTAAGTTTGACTGAGAATGTTGTCTGATGGAATTTTGGTTCGTTTATGTTGCAAACTTGCAATTTTTTTTCCTTTTTACGTGTTAAGCCGGTCATGTGTATAGGTGGCGAGCCACATGTGCACAGTGTAGGTTGGATATGCTGACATGTGTGATGATTGTTGCTTTGTTCCTTTATTATAAGAAAATTCAGCGTTTATGTGACATCCTAAAATTTAAAACTATGTTCTTAAATTAATAAAGTAATAAATGAAAGACGATTTATATAAATTAATCATCAAGGATTAATCATATCATTAGTGGTATGAAGTTTGGAAAGCTGGAAGTGAAAATAATAATATTTTAAAATTAAAAGGCCAAAAGTGACAAATTGGCAAAGTGTGTTGACCAAACGGTTGACTAAGTTAGTGGAAAGGACTACCAAAGTTATATAATGGATGGAGGAGGACTTGTTATGTGAATCTTTTAGTCAAATGTTAAAACAAATGGGGTAATGGTAAAAATCGACAAAATGCAAGAATTAGAAGGACTAAGTGTGAAAATATAGGAAATAAGATGAATATTCTTCTCATTTTTATTACAAATTGTTTTCTTCATCCTAGAGGCTTCTAATGACGATTTTCCTTCTCCTTTCCATGTAAAGACCGATTCAAATGAAGGGTTAGGCAATCAAGCAAATGAGAGAATGAATCAAGACCTGCAAGGTATAATTTGTCTTCTATTCAACCTAGAATTTTGAATTTATGGAGAGGGTTAACCCTAATGTCGATTTCTATGTGATTGAATGATTAGGGTTTGGTTTTCTAACTTCCCTTGGTTTCCATGGTTCTAAGCTCAAACCAATCATTCCATTAGTGGTTTTGGATGATTTAGATGAAAACCCACATGAACCCTAGAAAACCCAAATTGGAGATTTTTTGGTCAAAAATTAGTCAAGTATAAATCAACCAAATTATATGAGAGGTTGTCGTTCGTATGAATCGAGTGTTAAGAACAAAATCAGAGTACATAGTGAATTAAGAACAAGGATGTAAATATAATTTGTTAGGCTCTTTGATTACTTCTGAATAAGTACAAGAGTTCTGAAAGAGCAAAGTGCTCTCGTTCTCACAAGAATACAAAAGTTACCCTCACCCTTATACCTTCCCCTATTTATAGGGTCATACATACATGTACAAAAAAACATAAGGACTAGACATCATAGCTTCGAACTCGAAACGATGCCTTATGTAATACATATATTCGAAATACAAAACATTGACTTCGAATCTAATCAGGCCTAACTGCACTTCAACACCTCACAACAAACTTTGAACTCTACAATCTCCCCGTTTGTGAGAAGTGTCGAATCTATGTCGTTAACATCTTCGTGGCCTGATGAAGTACTCTGCGAACCTCCGTGTACCAAATGATCGTCTTTCGAATCTCAACCTTATCTCCTGTTGTATTCTTCTTGCAATTATTAAGACGAACAAGTAGATTCGTATACTGAGAGTTCGTGTACCTCTCCACATCACAAACTTGAAATAAAAACTTTGTCACCTTGTTTTGCTTGTTCTTTCCAACAAAAACTACACCCAAAGGTTTAAGAACAATCTCCCCATCCTCAAAATTCTTGAGACTACCTTGACCTTTCAGCATCGATTAAGGTACTGGCACTGTTCTATTCATTGCCAAAGCAAGTTCAACATCCGTCAAAGCTAGACAATCATAGTAATTATGTATGAACAGATTGATATGAGCAAAACCTATCAAGAAATCTTCTTTGTTGTTCACTTGTAGTTTTGACACATCGACAGAGCTTAATATTTTTGCCACATTTATGAGACCATTGAGATTATAATAGGAAGGTCTGCCACTGAGAAGTCACAAGCAACATTGTTTGCTCTAACCACATGGTATCGAAAGTTTTGTAACAAGCCCTCGAACATAGTATCTTTGGAAATATTCAACATCTTGACAATCTTGACCAAAGACCATACTTCCTCTTCCTTTTTACCTAGAACAACATGAAACCTCAACTTCAATCTCTTGAACTCATCTTTATCTTCAAACTTATCAACCAATTGACATTGAGCAGAGATGAACATCATGTGGTTAATCGAAAAATCCAACTGATTAAAATCAGTATTTTCGATTTCATAGCTCTTCTTTGGAATCTTCTCAAAATCATTCATAATTCTAGAAAGATGATTTGTTCTATTGTCTCATAACAGTACTACTTACATGGATCATCTTTCTCTAAGCCTGGTGGATCGCTTTGTCTTTGTCGCATTATACTTTTTATTTGTCTCTGCTTCTCAATCTCCTTCTCCAAAGCTTTCTTCTTTTCTTCTTCTAAAGGATTGATCTCAATACCCTTCCCTTTATTTTCTTTTTCTTCTTTTGAAGGTGGTAGCTTCGAACTCGAACTCGATCCCCCCGTACTTTGTCCGATGACAAAGCCTTTAGTCAGTGGTCTCAAAGTTGTTGTAGTCGAAGTAGTTGTTAATGAAACAGGAAGTGATGTTGGAATTTGCGTCTACATCACCTTCCCCACAACCTTTCCTGGATCTGAATCCTTCGAAGCGCCAACACCCTTATCTCCCCCTTGCACCACTTGTTTGACAGGTGGGGCATTCGTTGGCATAAGAGACACAAGTTGAAAAAGAGGAGCAATGTGTGTTTTTAGTTTCTTTTCGAGGGATGAAATCATCTTCGAAATTGACTCCATATAAACAGTGGATTGTTGAGAAAGATCAAGCTTTTTCATGGACTCCTTCAAGCTACCCAAAAATTCATCAAGCTTGAGAAACACTTTTGAATCAGATTCGGTCTTCGCATCAATCTTGGTAGAAAAAGAAGTGTTATATTCCACAAGCTTCTTTATTGCTTTGGCAATAACATCTACTTTGCCATGAATACTAGAATAGTTCTCTTCAAGCTTTACAACCTCCTTCGTCATTTTAGACTTGAGCTCTGCCACTTTGATATTGACAGACTCATACACCTTCTGCACTTCTTTGATAAAAAGAAGATGGCATTCTTTGGCTACATAACGAAGCTTGGTGACCTCATGTTGAAAATTGTCAACATGAAGTTTTAAGTGATCTTCATGTTGCCTTTCAATATTTTCCATAGCCACTTTCAATCGATGCTCTTGTGACTTAAGCAACATATCCACTTCAATTCCTGACACTAGATGTTGACCCCATGTGTCTGCTTGAATTTGCAACAACAAATTCAACTTTTTGTTCAAAATCTTAAATTGTTTCCCAGACATAAGCATGTCATCTGGAATATTATCTTCTTCTGGGTCGAACTGAATTTTAGCAAACGAAACCATCACATCATCATCATCATCATCTTGATCTTCTTCTAGAACTGAATTTTTGCATTCGGTTGATTGAGAAGATAAAAGTGAAGTAATGGGTTGATTCAGGAGATTTGAGAAAGTAAGTGAAATGGTAGAAGCAGGTAATGTAGATGGAATAGGTGAATGAAATGGTGGTAAGGAAGTTGAAGTATCTATGAGTGTATTTTCGATGGTAGAGGATAAAATGAGTGAAATCGGAATCGATAAAGTTGCAACAGAAGTGGTACCTTTAGCTTCGGAATTCGTCACCCCTTCACCCTTGTTGACATTTGTGCCCATATTATATATGTTCACAATGATACCTGAGGTTCGAACCTCCTCTGTAACGGATTTATTCATCGAGACCTCTGGTGGTATAACCATGGTCTTCTCAGGGATGGTATTAGTTGTGTGATCACCCAAATTAGTGGTTGTATCCATATTAGATACTTTCACTGAGCCACCAAGACTTCCAGTCTCCTTGAAATTCGACTTAACTGGAAAGTCCCTTTGTGGTGATGAAAAGCCAAATCCATGCACTTCGTGATGAATAGGAGATTTGTCACTCCCACTCTCGAAATCAGTTTCGACAACTACCTCATCAAGAGGGTCTTCCAGCTGCTTCTTTTTCTTTTGTATCTTTTTCACCACTTCATGTGATTTTCGTTTCTTTAAAGCTGGTGAAACTGGAGCTGGAACATCACGAATTTTCACACCCCTTCGATTAAGCTGAGGTTTGCGAATTTTCCTGATCTTCAAAATAGAACCCTCCTTTGGTGAAGAGAAAGGCTCAACAGGAACTTCTTCAATGATTGGTCGTTCTGGAGAATGACGAGGTCGATGTGTTGGCTTCTTGGTTCGTTTCAGAACACCTATTTTCGAAGGAACAACTTCCTTTTGAACATCCTTTGTAGCAAGTTCTTGAACTGGTTTCGTAACCTCCTTCTCGATTTGTGATTCATGCTTCTTTGTTTTCTTAGAAGCTTTTCCAACCCTCGAAGTGCCTTCAACTCCTTTAGGCAACAGAACCCCCATTTGAACATCTGGATTGATGGTTGTCAAGTATTGTACGAGAATAGGATTAACAGGATCTACTTTTCTTAACATGGCATCAGGAATTCGAGCCATATGAGGAAACAAAGCAGTATCATCATTAACAACCTTAGGGACCTGATATATTGAGAACTCCGCCTTTGCATCATCAGATGGGACCAAAATACCCTCTTTCTCGTAAACTTCGCTCAGAATCAAACTCCAATACCTTGCACACGAGACTCCATTCACAACACTGGTATGATTAATGCCATTACCAAATTCTTCTTATAATTGAGTAGCATAGTCGACATTGAGATCATAATACAACCCTGTGATCAAAGCATATACCTCCAACTTCGCGTTGTCAACCCTGAACTTCTACCAGTTAGACAAAGAAGGAAAATCCCAAATAAGAAATTCAAAATGCATGGCAAAGCAGTGTTGCGAAAGTGACTATGGCATGTAAGTGGTGGTTAATGACCCCTTTCATTGAACATAGATACCACCTGTTCAACTGAAACTTCATAAAATGGACCTATAAATGGAAGCTTCATAATCTATGCAAATTGCTTCTTAGAAATCAGTCGAACCAGTCAAAGATAACCAAGTCATTGGTATAGAGAATAAAGAAGACATTACTGTTGATAGAACAGAGTGATTGAGAGCAACAATCAACATTTGTAGTGATTATGGGTATTTCGAAACATCAAGTTGAACCCGGTAGTTTGAACTATGAATCTTTAACAATGGTTGAGATGTTGCTTCTTTAGTTGTGTTGGATGGATCAACGTCCAGTTGGTGCCGCCATTGTTAGGGTTTTGAAGAAGAGATGATTATCGTGAAGAAAATATTTGGGGAAAATTACACCAGATTGTGTAAAGTCTTTTAATTTTGACCCCACAATCTTTTTATAGCGCACATAAATTTTGAATTTGAATCAGCAACAATAAAAAATTGCCACGTGTAGTCTTGGAAAGTGGGTCAGTTTCCGGAAAAGTTGCCACGTCTGAAAAGTAATGATCAGTTTTCCCTTGAAAACCATGAATGAACTAAACCGTCACATCCATCAGACTTTTCGTTTTCCCCAATAGGATAAGAACCGTCACTTGACCTTCGTTTCGAGGCAGGGCTTATTCGTTTTTGGGATGAGGAACAAAATCATAGCCAGACTTACGAAATCTAGTTTTGAGTTGGTATTATCCAAGACCTCGAGGATTTCTGTGCAAATGTGTGCCAAAGAAATAGCGGGAACCAAAATAAAAAAAATGTGTGTATAGTGACATCAAATAAACATTCGATGTAAAGAAAATGGATCCCAGACAATGACTTCATTTGACATCAATAGAGATATCGAATGTGACAACCCGAACCTTTTTCCGTTTCCATTAATCGATTTCCATTAATAAAATTTGAATTTTATTAAGTTCCCGTCAAACTTCTTGGTTTAGAAAATCATCTAGTTTTATATAATTAAATTTATATACGAGTCGGAACCAAAAATCGTGCGAAAAACCCGAATCTCCTTGAAAAATCAAACGGTTTTCGGCCTAAGTGAGTTTACGGCCGTAAACCAGTGTACGGTCGTACACTCGTTTACGGCCAACATTGGGTGAACCCCACCACCGACCACGAAAACCCCTATAAATACGAGACCCTACCCCTCATTTACACTTTTCTGGCCGAACACTCTCCCCTTCTCTCTCTAAACTCTTGACCGTACACCCCTAAAACACCCTTATCCTTCCGAAATTCATCAAGAATCGTCATTGGGAGTTGATTTGGAGCATCTAGAACACGTTTTTCATCGATTCCAACACCCTTGTTCTTGACTGTACGGTCGTACACCCTTCAAGTCTGCAAATCTTCATTGACCGTACACCAGTTCACGGCCGTACACACTTCAAACCTTCAAAGGCCGTACACCCTTCGAGAGACAGTTCACAGCCGTAAACCGTTCACGGCCGTAAACCCCATTCACGGCCGTAAACACTTCCTAAGTGGTGCATTAGACTGAAAACCCAGTTTCCTCTATTCAATCAAGTCCCGGTAACATTCCTTAACCGAAAGCAAGTGTTTTTCTAACACTTAATCTAACGAAATCGCTAATTTAGATACATATATTTATTTAATTGTTATTAGGGTTCCGTTAAGTTCCACACACTACAACTCGAGGGTCTTCATTCCAGTTCGTTGATTCGACACTTGTACGCAACTAACAGTGAGTTCATACCCCTACGCTTTTATGATTTTTAATGTTTTCAGGGGGGGGATACAAGCCAAACACAAATGATTTTGTGAACCAAAACAAAAGGTTTTAACATGTTTAAAACTTATGCAATTGATACAATCAAACAATTCCCATGTTTTATAAAATATTTAGATATTTTATCCCTTTTGTACTATGTCGAGCATAAGGGACACTTTTATCTTGGAAACACAATTGCATAATTTTCAGAATAATTTACAAACCAAGTACATAACATTTCAAGCAAACTATAATGGGTATAGTTTGGAGAATTCAATACACAACTTTTACCGATTCAGATTTCATATATGGGTAAACATATAAACTATGACAGATTTAGTTTATGATATACATTACTGCAAGAGTACAACATTTAATAATTATATAAGTATAATTATTACCTTATACAGTATACAACGGATTCAAATACAAGAGAACAATAAAGAACCACACGTAAACTAGTTAATACAGGATTATGAGACAACACTTCAAATGTACCCTTCGGGGTACATATTAAATCCTATCATAGTATAACCAGAGTCTCCTGGAGGGAGAGCGTGAGATTTGTGAATATATCTATTCAGGACTGATAATCCCACACCTGAACTGCTAGCTACAGTTAGGCAGGCATGCCTGGGGTGACAAATGTCATTTAACCGACACCTGAAGAACGTCGTAAAGGTGACTAGGTCATATCAAACATGGTTATACGACTCACAATAGAATAAATTAACCATTTGTTTACGGGATTTCAATTTTCATTAGTTTTATTTAAAGAAATGAAACTACTATACATACTGGTGGTAGCCAGGGTTTTCAAACAGAACATACTATACATATTGGTGATAGCCAGGGTTTTCAAACAGAACATACTATACAAAGGTTTTGTACAAGAATACACACATACTACGATTGGTAGTAAACAGACATACAAACTAATGTTTTTCCTAGACTACAACAGGATACAATAACAAACCCTTCACAGTTAATTCTATAATTACTTAGTTTAGGCATCAGGGCTACGTATGGAGAATATTCGATAGACTGTAGAATGTGTGGTTTCCGCCTCTTTTCCTGTTCCTTGTTTGGTTGTGGGCTTAGGGCAGATCCATATAATCAAATGTCTGTTCGATATTTGTTTATACATGGCTAGCATGAAGTAAGTGGTTATAGATGGGAACTGATATTATCACATTCTTACTAAAGAAAATATTGGATTTTCTTGGAAACATACGAACATTTTTACAAAGTCATCAACAGGTTTTCATTACAAAAACATCGCCTATGAACTCACCAGCTTTATGCTGATACTCTTTCAAAACTGCTTGTATTCTCAGGGAATTAGTAGACAGGTACCTTCTGGAGTTTTGAGAAGACGGAGAGTATAGAGTCACGTCTTTTTCTTTTGATTATACTTTTGATGTATAAAAACAAGAATCAAACAGATGTAAATACCTTTTCATATATGTATTCAATGTTATGGTTGTGTTTACTATGATTACTATGATGTAATTGTTGTGATACTACATATGACGTCATCCACCCCCGAACGTTTCCGCCGTTCCGGTTTGGAGGTGTGACAGATTGGTATTAGAGCTCTTGTTTATAGTGAACTAAGTATACTGAAGCTTACATGGTATACAACTATAAACACTAAGGGGCCAAAGTGCTCTGAACTAAAAGTATACTTTTAAAATATAAGTATTTTATAAGAAGTATACAAGTATACATAAGTACCAGAAACAATATCATAAGTAGAACAAAACAAAAGTATTTGGATGTTGGACACTATGGTTAAACCTGGATAGTTATGTAATCATGTCTGGGATCAATATAGCCTGATCAACTATATTTATTTGAGACTTGACCAACATGTATCTAGGAGTGATAATGGTGTTGCAGCAAGCCTAAAACTTACCAAGCTGTATACATCAAGATATCGATAGAACAGAGCATACAACTTAAAATACTATAGGAGTATTTTAGCTAGAGCCGAATACAGTATAGAGATTCATTCCAAGTGTTGCTACTTATTTCTTCCTAGCGATAGTTTACTTGCATTGGTAACCATTCTATGTTTATCGCTTAGTAGAACACTTTATCTATCAGGCTGAGATATATCTTGTTTCATATCTCTTGATTTTAGATCTAGGGGACTTACCATCCTCTTCTTCCTAATTATTTTTTTAGAAAAAGATGCCTCCCAGAAAGAGACCCAGCAGGAAGAACAACGACCCTCCACCACCACCACCTCCTCAGTTCGATCCTGCCATGTTCCAGGCAGCAGTTACAGCCACCGTGACTGCAGCAATGACGCAAATAAACCCCGGTGGGGCTAGCGGATCCGGAGGTGGTACTCATCCCCAGAATCTCGACGATCAGGGACATCAAAAGGAGTGTTCCTATAAGCATTTCATGAATGTGAAACCCAAATCCTTCGACAGCAATGGAGGAGTCATTGCCTTAACCCGATGGTTCGAGAAGATTGAATCCATCTTCGAAATTTACGCTTGTTCTGAGGCAAAGAAAGTGAAGTTCGCCGCCTGCACCTTCACTGACAGAGCACTGACCTGGTGGAATGGTCGAGTCAAATCCCTAACTCTGCCGGTAGAGAATGCCATGGGTTGGGAAAGCTTAAAGGAACTCATGCTTGCTGAGTACTGCCCAAGGGGCGAGATGCAGAAATTAGAGCACGAGCTCTGGAACCTGAAGATGAAGGGTTCCGACATTTCTGCTTACACAACTAGATTCTGTG